AAAGCAGTATACCTGGAAACGAGCCTGAAGGGACAACCACTGGAAATACTTGGACAGTTGTCAGCAGACAACAGGCAAAACTATAGAGCACTGGTAGCTGCTATAAAACTCAAGTATGGAACTCAAAATCAGTACGAAGTCTACAGGGCTAGGTTTAGGACGAGAGTCCGTGCTAACGGGGAGAGCCTGCAAGAGCTGGCACAGGACTTGGAAAGTATGGCACACAAGGCCAACCCAACTGCACCACCCGATGTCCTCAAGTTGTTGCTGAGGGATCAATTCGTAGATGTCTTGGACAGTCCACAACTTAAGATACAGGTGAAGCAAGCACATCCCTCTACTATGCAGGAAGCAATGGCCAGAGCTTTTGAATTTGAATCCTATGTTAAGTCCAGCACAGAGGTACCAAGGTTGGTACTGTCATCAGGATTCAAGGCCAGAAAAGGGCAGCTTTCAGAGAAGTTTGAGAGACTTTGCTGGCGCTGTAACAAACCTGGGCACAAGAAAGCTCAATGCTGGCAACTTTAACACAGGGAAGATGCCACGTCAGGAAAGGCTGCTACCCAGAGAAGTTGTTGGAATTGTGGAGAGCAAGGACATATGAGGAGCCTGTGTAAGAAGAATGCTTCCAATAAGTAAGCTTTGGGAAACTAGTAGTGGTTGGTGTTGAGGGACGCCCACCAATCTCCATCGTGAAAGTCCCAACAGCTAAGTGTAAAATGGCAAGCACACATAGTGTCTACGTGGCAGGAAAGCTGGATGGCCAAAAGTGCAACTTTGTCATAGATTCTGCATCTCAGCAAACCCTTGTGAGCATCAAGGTGTTAGATCACGAAGGAGTACCAGAAGCCATACAGAAGCTTTGTGGTGTGACAGGGCATTATGCAAGGTTGTGAGGACCAGTGTGGGTAACTATTGAGCTCATGGGCATAAAGGACAGACACAAAGTATGCTCAGCTGACATTGAAGATCCATGTATATTAGGGTTGGACTTCTTACTACCAAGGAAATGTGCAGTTAACTTTCATGAAATAACGTTTGGGAACAACAAAGGCCAAATTATGATAAGTGTTAAAAGAGAGGTTGGACTAACCAGGTGCCATCAAGCTGAAGTTAAAGTGAGTATCAAGGTGCTGGATCACAAAGGAGAACCAGAAGCCATAACAGAAGCAAGGTTGTGGGGACCAGTGTGGGTAACTGTTGAGCTCATGGGCATGAAGGACAGACACAAAGTATACTTGGCTGACATTGAAGACCAATGCATATTAGGGTTGTTCTATTTACTACCGAGAAAGTGTGTAGTTAACTTCGATAAAATGACGATTGGGAACAACAAAGGCCAAATTCCAGTAAGTGTTGCTGCATCTGTTGATTTGCATGTCACAGCACTTAAGTCAACTACAATGTCAGAGAAGATAATTTGGGGTAGAATAAAAGAACATCCCCCAGAATGCCCGATGCTTGTGGAAGCAGTGTATGTGAAGATTGGAAGGTCACTTGTGGCAGGTCATCAAATAGTACCCATAACAGTTGCTAATTTCTCTAAATGTGAGCAGACACTTAAGGAAGGGGCATTGTTGGGTGTGTGCCAGGAGGTAGAGTCAGTCAATGTTAAAGCAAGAAATACAACTATAAAGAAAGGACATCCTCTCCCAGAACATATAACTGGCCTCTATAAGAAGAGTATAGTCCATTTGTCATCATCGCAGGCTCTTCAGGTTAGAGAACTTTTGGCGAATTATGCATGCGTCATTTCGAAAGGAGATCATGACCTCGTCTGCACAGATCTTGTAAAGCACAGAATAAACACAGGCAATCATCGTCCAATAAAGATCCCTCCGAGGAGAGTAGCTCCAGCAAAGTGACAAGAGATAGAGATGGTCATGGATGGCCTAATTAAGGAAGGGATAGTCGAGAAATACAGATAGTCCCGGTCA